CACGTACTGAAGTTCAGGTGCAGCTCTACAAAGTTTGGACTTATCCAGCTGTGCCTGGCTTGGGTCTGGCTGCTGTGCTCAGCTCCTTCCCGCTGCTGCCCTTGATGGTGAACCTGTTGTGCCCCTGTGGCAAGATGTTCTGCTCCTGGACTACCTGGTTGGATATATCCTCCACACTCTCTGCAGGGATTACAGCTGCAGGTTTACACCCCATGCATGTATGCCAGGCCTGAGCTGTGCCTGGAGGGGGCAAGGTGGAGTATAGGGGAGAGGAAGCTCTCCCTCACACTCATTGGGTCTGGGCTAGGACTGGGTCTGGGGGTTCCCGGAACGCGGCAGAAATTCCTACTTGGCGGGCGGGGTGGGGGAGGTGCTGCGGAGTGGTGGGGGGTGTCCCAAGTGGGTGGGAGAGGGTCTGGCCCACACTGCGCCTGGGCTGGGACCGGTATTTTGTCCGGCCAGTGCAGGGTAGCAGGAAGCTCTCCCACACACTCACCGGACGTGGTCTAGGACTCTACCTTACTCATCATTAACCACTATTTTTTTTCTTTTTCCAGTAGATTCCCAAGCATTTAGTTTACACGTAGGCTGTGTCTAGACACCCTCCAAAGCCTTATGCAGTGGTAGGTGGGGCTTTTCAAAGGTGGCTGAAATCTAGAGTATACTACTAAATGATGCTAGGATTAAGGGTGGGTGATTACTAAATAAGGCCACTGTTTGGCTTGGTACTGTCCTTATTGTAGTAACCCAGATACAATATAAGGGACAAAGAGAGGCTTGTTTTGTGCCTTGTTTGCTTGAGACTAAGACTAGGGGTGGTGGACTAAGTAATCTGGCAGAAGAAATCAAAGCAATCTACTGAGGAAGTGGTGGCCCAGTTACTATTGGAGGCTTTTAGCTAGATCTGAATTGAGAATCCAGAGCAAAGAGCTAAACAGAATGACTGAAGACATTGTGAGTTTGGTCAGAAAGGAAGCTCCAGTAAAGCTGTGGCCTACGAAGATGGACTAGAGGAGAAATTGGCTACTGAGAAGACTAGAAAGATAAAGCAAATTATTATTTTAGAAGAAGACAACAGAAAAGATGTGCTGAGGACATAACAAGAAGTGGGTGGTAGCCTTTGCAGCCTCACGGTGGCAAAGGAGAAAGACTACTTTGAGAAGAGCCCCAGAGCACCACGATCCAGAATGGCAGTGGCCTAGAGAATCTGTTCCTTGGGGCTGAGTGCAGAGCATTAAGTGGTCCAGGCACTCAGCCCCTACAGGCAAAAGGAAGCCTGGCTGCCGTTCCAGCTGGTGGCAGATCCTGGCATCACCCATGTGGTGCTGGCTTTGGGCACATGAAGAAAGCAAGAGTTGTGGGACAGGAAGGCTTCCACCCAGATTCCAGAAGGCCCATGAGGCCAGGTAATCTTTCCATTGGATGAAGTTGTGAGTGTGAAGCCAAGAGTATAGTGGAGATTCTAAAAGTCTGGAGAAGTCAAGAATGTGGATCATCCAGGGAATAAGCAAAGCCAAAGAAAGCAGCCATGGGAGCTACAATCACCAGAAGTACCACAGGAAGGAGCCATCAAAGCCCTTTTAAGTTCACAACTTGCCCCAGGTTACAGGGGATGCTGGACATGTAACTACAGGACTTAATGTTTGCCCTGCCAGATTTTGGACTGGCTTTCCTTCCATTCTTTTCTCTCTCCATCTCTTCTTGGAATGGAAATGTATATCTTGTGCTACTGGATGTTAGAAATGTTTAACTATTTCTTCATTTGTACAGGGATTCACAGCTAAGACTGCTATAAATCTCAGATGAGACTTCTGGACTTGGACTTTTCAGCAATGGGGAAAATGTTAGGATTTTGGCAACTCTCAGAGAAGGACTAAATGCTTCTTACATGCAAGATATGCATGAGTATTTTGGGGCCAGGGAAAGAATGTTATAGCTTGTGTGTAGAATTCATTTTCTGCGGGGGTGGGGGGGTGGGTGGTGGTGGTAGAGAGGGTACCAGGAATTGAACTCAGGACCTTATGCTCGTCAGGTATAAGCTTTAGGAGCTATGCTGCTGAGCTATCTCCCTGGCCCCTAAGACTTGTGTCTAGATGTCCCTCCAAAGCCTCCTGCAGTCATAGGTGGAACTTTTTCAGAAGTGGCTGAATCAGACTAGATTGGTTTGGTAGCATCGTAATCCTGGTAGCCTAGTTGGAATATAAAAGAGCAGAAAAAAGCTGCTAAGGCCCCTGGCTTGCCCTGCTTTCTTCAGCCGACCATGAACTGTTTCTCCTTGTCTGTCATGCCACCTTGCCTTAAAGCCAGCCAATTATGGACTGAAACCTCTACGAACTGTAAGCAAAATATACCTTTCCTGCTTTAATTTTGAGTATTGGGCATTTTGTCTCAGCAATGAGAAAATTAACTAAGACACTACAATTTTTCTTCAAAACTCTTAGTAGGTTTTCAATGCAATTTAAGATCATATTGCATTTAAAATATACTTGTGACTAAGTTCATCAAAAATAAGGCACCACTTAGCAGAGAATCTGAGACCATATAATCTTGACCACAGAAGTCATACTTTGAGGTACCACATTGTTGGCATTCTTAGGGATCAGCCTTTTAGACATTAGCTCCTCCCTAAATCAGGTTTAAATTTACATGCAGGACAGGGTTAGCACAAACAAATGGATATAGAGTGGCACTGACTAAAATTCCCTGTGACATTCAACATTTTAATATCATTCCCAGTGCTTCATCTGCTATTAGGTAGCTACCCCTACCCCACATGTGTTCTGGTTGGCTTCCTCCTTACCTGTCCTTACTGCATTGCGGGCCTGGTTGACTGTCATTTGCCCTGTCATGTGCAACAGGACCTTTGCCTGAGGACTTGTCTGGATGTGAGCTGCTGACACCACGGCCGTGGGGACAACACTGGGACTGCCGGACACACCATTTCCCTGGAGCTTCTGGGCAGGGCCTCCGGCAGTAGAAGGACTGACCATGGTCACCCCCCGGTTTGTCTGACCCGCAGTAGACATAGAGACTTTAGCTTGGGAAGCATTTGTCACCGCTCTGCCAAGACAGAAACAGATGGAAAACCCAATCCATCAGCAAAACGGGAGATGGAATAACGAAATGCAAGAAAAATGACTCAGAGCTTTAAAGACAGAACATTTTTTAAAAAATGAATGGAATTATTTTTACAAAGTTTTGAGCATAGCAAATTCAAAGAAATGATGGCCTTGAGGCAGAGAAGAGTCTTAAAATTGTTCTGAATTACCAGCCCCCACACATCAACCTTTGCTCAAGAATACAGTCACTGAGTTACTGGTTTCAGCTTCCCCTGTTGAGGCCAGGCACCACCGCTGCCTTGCAGGCCCGCATCCTTCTGCATTATCTCCTGACCAAGCCAGGCTTGCTCCTTTAGAGTCTCTGGAAACAGCTCTGCTCCTGTTTTCTGCTCCACTTGTTTCAGGTACATCACACAGGTCCTCGGCACACACACACACGTGTGCACATATGCGTGCACACACACAGACACACACTCCTGGGCTGCCTCTCTTGGACTCTCCTGGCCAACCTCTATTTCATTTATGTTTCAAGATCTAGCACCCAGCACATCATTTCAAGAAGGCTTGCCCAAGAGCCAGGTTTAAGATCCTATGAGGCTGCTGGTTCACGTAGCTTCCTTCCTCTGTTCTGTTTTATACCTCACATGGCACTTGCAATCTAGCCCTTGAGTGCAAAATGTGGTATATTTTTTAAAAATAAATTTCATATTAAATCCTGATGACTCAGTAAGTTACTTGAAGGCAGAGGAAGGCGCACAGTGGCTCTTCCATTCCTCCTCTAGTAGCACAGTTATGGAGGCACAGTCAGCTCCAAACACCTGGCTTATTATTATCCACCATTGTTTTACATTCCCGTAAATGACAATCCTGCATATAGCAATTTTCTACTACATAGACTATTTCATTAACTTGAACCTCCTTAGTATGTACCGTGATGAGTGACAGAGTGGACATGGTAGGGAAGCACTTGTCCGGAGTTAAGCAGAAATTTTTATTTAATAATTTGTTCTGAATCTTATAAAAATGTTTTCCTTCATTAACTTCATTTTTATCATTTTTATCATTGTTTGTTGTAGTTCTCTTACTTATCATTATTTTTTTGTATGGGAGAGCACCTAGCTGGATGGGCTGGACCTCGAATGCAGATTTTAAAATCCACAGAATAGAAGGTTTATATTGATTAAAAATTTGCAAGTCAAATGAAAGCTAACATTCTGTCACCATCTGCAACAATAGTGATTTTCATTTGATTAGGCTTCTGGCCAACCTATAAATCAAGGCCAACAGCTGACAAACATGTCAGTTCATTAAGCCATTTGTTTAAGGGTGGGGGGGAGTGTAACACAGATAAACCTGGGCCATTTATTTATTAAAGAGTCCAGCAGTCCAAACCATGGCACCCCTGTGTACATTTCACTACTTTTCATTTCTTTTGATATTGAAGGCTACTTTCCACAGTGACCAGGAGGTACGTTATCTTCAAATAAAATAAGGAAAACTTTCATCTATATAGTTTCTACCACCCTATGACGGGCTTTCTTGACCTCAGTGACATTTTGGGCCAGATTATTCTTTTGGTGGTGGCAGTGGCATCTCTCACTCTCAGTTGTGCTAAATAAAACTATGTCCAGGTAGCAACAAAGGCTCCCCGGGAGCACTACT